AAATCACTAGATTACTATACATTTATAAACCACATTCCTGCATTCCTACAGCATTTAAAGAGATAGTTCACCCAAAAATGAAAATTTGGTCATCATTTACCCTCGTGTTGTTTCAAACCTTTGAACAAAAATACAGTTGATTTCCATTGTATGAACAAAAATAAATAAAAACACAAGACACATTTCTCAAAATAACTTTTTGAAAAAAAAAGTAATTCAGGTCTGGAATGACATGAGGGTGAGTAAATGACAGAATTTCCATTATCCCTTTATCTAGTTACATTTGTAATATAAATTATGCATACTTAACGTTTAAGTAAATTATTGTTTTTTGTTGTTACGATTTCAAAGATGAGCAGTAATTTAATATAGAATAAATATATTAAAGCAAAAGTAAATTCCGTCAAATTGAGGCAAATCTGAAAATAGTGAGAGTGACAATGACTGATTTGTGATTATATTGCACATAAACTTGGAGGCTTTCTGAGATGTTTCAGATCAATAGTGGTGTATGAATGGATACTGTAGTCCAGATACCCATGCTGTGGTCCGGTATGTGCCCAGCTGCTGTCCGCTCTCTGAGCAGTGCCACGTAAAGCTCTTGTCCTGACCTGTGCTTAGAACCCACTCCATCTCTAAGACAAACAGCACCACGGTAACGCCACCCTGATGAGCTAACACAAACAAAAGACAAGACACAATGAGCAAAGCCGGGAGGGATCACTTTACCACATTCAAAAACTCAACCAATTATGCTCTCACATATGTAATAAGTAAATAACAAGGCAGCAGAATGTCAAGTAATCACAGAGATTGGATTTCAGTAACATAGGAGCAAACAACAGGACTGACTCCATATCGGTCTTGTTTATCTTTGTTGGAAGCATTACATAAGCCATGTATTTTAAAGAAGGTTAGATAGCCGTTTCAAATTAATGCTATTCTAGGCCATAATAACACACTTTGATTAGGAGCTGAATGTTCAGATTAAGTACTTAATAATAAAGTTGCCATATATATATATATATA